CCTACCCCTCCACTAAATGGCCTCAGATCACATGGTGTTTTCTGAGATGTATAGTTTGGGTCTTTTTAATGCCATTACTGTTAGGCTTTTAGTTGCCACTTCTTGCTGGATCTAGCACCTGTTGTCATTCTCTTCGTTCACTTTATTATGAGAAACCAGAATCAAGTTCCCTAAAATTGAATTTAAAATTAAAGTGAACTCCATGAGGGATTTGCTGTTAGCAAAATGTTTGATCTTTAATACAGAGCTTTATAGCATCTATTTCAGGGGCTCAAAATTAATTTTCCTTCATCTGAGTCCCCAGCGACCTAAGGGCTGAGTGAGCTCGCTTGGGTAAGTGGTCCTGGGAAGTGAGGTGTGCTTTGACCTTGTTTCGGTAAGATGGTAACCATATTCTCCCTTAACAAGTCTTCAGGGTGTTCAGGGGGTCTTGTAAACTTTGCGGTTGAGTGCAGGATTCTGAGCTGCCGTGCGGATAAAGTTCTCACTGGGATTACACCATTGGGGGTGTCTGCAGAGGGAAGGGGCAGGGGACATGGCTCCCGTTGGAGGGAGGAGAGATGGAGGTAGGCTCCAGATACTAAGTAGCTGGTTTCAGCTGGACCCTTTTCCAAAGGAAGGTGGAGAAGAAAGGAAGAGCGTAGTGCAATGGGGAGGGACCCCTAGTCCCTGGGTCACAGAGGCCATTTCTGTAGGACGTCTCCTCATCACTACCTTCCTGCTTGTTTTCCGTGGGTGCAGTGGGGGCAGGGACAGATCACCGAGCCCATCTTCCACCCCCAGGGGCCCAGGAACTCCCTGTGCTGAGAGTGCAGTGTCCTACCCACCTTCCAGCACCGGTCATAAAATGACCTTCACCTGGTCCCAGGTTAGTGGTCCCCAGTTCCAGAGACATCAACCCCTTAGCTCTGATCACAAATGCATCCTAAAAACCCAGGCACAAATAAATTCTCAATTCAGGCACACTCTGAGCCTCCTAACCTGGGAGAAGCAATCTATGTACCTTTGCTTTAAAAATATTTCTTAATGTTTATTTCAGTGTTTAAAATGTTCAGAAAAGGAAAATCTATTTGGTACCTTTACGAAGCCTCAGGCTTGAATCAGCTTTTCTCAATCCCCAGAGGGGAAAAAATGTAAGAAAACAGGGTCAAGCTAGTTAGAAGATCCTCTAAAGCAGGGGCCAGGGACCAGCATCACTGTTGCTTGGGGCGCTGGCTAAGAAAGGCCCCAGACCAGTTCACCATATCAGAGACCGCAGGGTGGGGCCCAGGAGCAACCCCCCCCCCCCCCCCCGCCCCAGCTCTCCAGGTGACTCAGACTCTGACTCGGGTTCAAGTTCAAGAACTGCTGCTCTAGAATAGTGGTTTTCCACCCTGGCTGCTTATTAGAATCATCGGGAGAGTTTGAAAGAATCTAGTACCTTGGTCATACTTCAGACCAACTGGATCAGAGCCTCTTGGGGGTGGGCGGGGTCCAGGCAGGAGTATTTCTCAAAGCTCCTCAGGTGACTCCAAAGTACAGCCAACGTGGAGCCCCCTCTACCTTAGGGCAATGAATCTTAACCGCTGTGGGATAGAGTCACAGAAGATTTTTAAAAATAAAGACAGGAGGCCCTATCCTTAAGCCAACCGAATCAGATTCTCTGGGAGGGTGAGGATGTGGCGGGGCTGGGGGGAGGGTGGGGTAGTTTAGAAAGATCCCCAGGTGATTATAATGTGCACACAAGGCTGGGAACCACAATTCCAGAAGACATAAAACTTATACCCCAAAGCTGAGCAAGTCATTTTGTTGAAGGAAAATGAGTTACTTAGTTGCCAAGGGAACCATCCCCTGAATGGAAAGAAAGACAGTCACTGATTTCTGGCTTTTGTGCCAAGAGCTAAATCACTGACTGAAGTGTATATTTCTCTCTTGCTCTGCCTCTCCCTGGTTTTTTGAAATGAGGGGGAAAAAAAGGGGGGGGGGAGGGGTTTCAAAGAAGAGACTCTGCAGAGGAAAATATCTAAAGACTTAAAAAAGATGGGCAGAGCGGCTGCCTCTCAGGACCCTGTCCGGCCAGGACAGCTGCACCCAGCCAGCAAAGCAGACCAGGCCCGCCGGAGCCTCAGCAAAGGCGCCAAGATCATCAGAAGCCAGGGACAGACCGAGGGCCCAGGACAACTGCCCCAGACAAAAGGAAAATCAGAATTCTATGACAGAGACACTGAAAACAGTTAATGTCATTTAAGAACAGCTTGTACCTGCCTAAATGATTCCCTGTGAAATAAACCAGTCACAAAAAGACAGATACCATATGATTCCACTTACACGAAGTACCTAGAATAGTCAAATTCACAGAGATTGAAAGCAGAGCGGTGGCTGCCAGGCACTGGGGGAGGGGAAATGGGAGTTGTCCTCTGATGGGTACGGAGTTTGTTCTGTGACATGAAAACTGTTCTGGAGATCGGTCACACAACAATGTGAACGTACTTAACATTACTGGGCTGTACACTTACAAATGGCTAAAATGGTAAATTCGATGTCTTGTGTATTTTATCACAATCAAAATTAGAAAGAAAAAGAAATCGGATAGTGTCAAGGCCAAAACAGATTTCATAAATGTTTTAGATTCCCAATTATTTTTTTTTTGTTGCTAGTTTAATAGTGGGTTATATTTTATATTCATATTTATAGAAAGCGCAGAAGTTGGGTTGTGTGGCAGATTTTTGCTTTCGCTCTTTTCTCACCTAAGACCCTAGTCTCAATTTCAAGCCAGACCCCTCACCTGGTGGCAGCCACTTAACGGGGAGTCAAGGGGCATGGTTCTCCAGCAGTTGTGCTGACTTCGAAGGTGAAAGAGAAGGAAGAGGCAAGGGTGGCCCAGGTTTCTGGGCTGAGTGAGGGAGAGTCATTCACGGGGGGAGGGCTGGGGAAGGGAGGGGGCCGAGGAAGCCGTACTCGCTGAGGGTCTAGTTTGTGCTGGGCTCTGTGCTCAGCATTGTGCAACCCTACTTCACTTAACCCTCGCCACAGCCGGAGTGGCTGGTGTCCTGGCCTCGCTCCTCCATAAACAAATCAGGGGTGCCTGGGTGGCTCAGTCGGTTGAGCGTCTGCCTTCAGCTCGGGTCATGATCTCAGAGTCCTGGAATCGAGCCCCGCATCGGGCTCCCTGCTCTGCTGGGAAGCCTGCTTCTCCCTCTCCTCCCCCTTTGTGCTCTCTCTCGCTATCTCTGTCACTATCTGTCTCTCTCAAATAAATACAATCTTAAAAAAAAAAAAAGAAAGAAAGAAAACGAATCAGAGCCTTCAGGGACTTCGGCAGCCCCCTCAAGGTCACCCAGCTAGTAAGTGGTAAGAGCCTGGAGCCAGGTTGTCCTTTCAACTATGCCAGTTGAGGACATGATGAGGTTGGAGATGCAGCGCAGGTACAGAGGATCAGGAGGCCATAGTGAGCATGCTTCTGACGCTCGGAGGGAGACCCTGCCTGCAGGGGAGGGGGCTGAGATGCAGGGACAGGACAGACGCTGTGAAGAGATGAGATTTCAGCAGGAGCCCTCCTGCTGAGAGGAGGGAGCCCCGAGGAAGCCTCACCGAGGGTGAATCAATGAAGGGGCCTGAGAAGGAGCATTCAGAGACAGGAGGAATGTCAGGAGAGGAATCAAAGGAGGAGAGGACTCGAAAGGACGGCGACGCCATCCCTGTCACCTGTCACATGAATGTCAGGGATGAGGCCGGAGAAGCAGCCTCTGCTTTGGCAATAACTCTGGCAGGCCCTGTCCTCTTCCCCTGATAACTGTCCCCCGACTTGCCAACTCCCAGCACAGCTCCTGTGTTGCGTGAGGGCTCTTGGTGCACCGTCTGGACGCGCCCCGGGAGGGCAGGGGCTCCGATGTGATCCTCGGTCCCCGGCACCTAGCACAATGCCCCCGCACAAAGTGAGTGCTCAATAATTACTTGTTGAAGGCCTGGCTGAAGCCAGCCCTGTGCCCTCCCTCCACCGGCAGGAGGTGCGCCCCCGCCCCTCCCCCCACTCAGTGGAGTGAACCCCCCCCCAGGCTCTCTGCTCTCTGCAGCACCAGGTGAATAGCGGGCAGAGCTGCCTCGGCAGCAGGCAGCATTGCGGAGTCTCAAAGGCTGCGTCTGACCTTGAGCCACCTTCCATTCTGCTTGGCTAAGCGCTGAGTCATTTACTTGTTTTTGCTGCCTTTCAACCCTAGAGCAGTGGGTTTAGCACAAAGGAAGACGTGAGGGTTGTTTTATTTGTGGGGAATCGATTTCCCTTAAATAAGAATTTAGCTGGTAGTCTGCACTGCACAGTGAGATGGTGTTGGGGCAGGAGGAACACGGTGGGGGCTTCTTGAGTCAATGGCCAGGAAACAATGAGCCTTTGGAAACAATGTTTTTCCCACAAACAGGGACTGCCAGAGAACCAGCAGGGCCCAGAAGTCAGGAGACTGGGTGAGTCCCAACTGGGGCACCGGCTGGCCGTGGGGCCTTGGGCAAGTCACTCAACATGCTGTCACTTACCATTTACTCTTTCTGGGCAGCTGTCCTCACCTGTAAGATGTAGAGATGACCTCAACTCCCTCCAGTGCCCGAATGGCACCCATTCTACCACGGGTGGCTGGGTGCTGCCACGGCGCGTGGTGGTGGGGGACACCTCCAAGCAGAGACGGCCTCCCGGACCCATGACAGCCTCCCAGAGCATTTGTCCCTGGAGTGGGGCCCAGTAGCGCCCTGCAGTGGCACCTCCATCAGAATCCCTCTCGTTCCAGCCCTTGTGACACTGGCTGAGAAGAGGCTAAGATTGAGGTCCGGAGCATCGGCTTGGGGGTTCCACACATCTGGGTGCGTTTGCCTACATTGGGTGCCTAACTATGCGCAAGTCACTAAATCACTCTGAGCCTCCTCCTCACCTGTCCCATGGGGGCCTTCTTACCTAAGGGGGTCTTGTGGTGATCACAGGAGATAACTGCAAAGAAAGTGCTCCGTGCAGGGCCTGACACAGAATGAGAGCACACTAAATGTTAGCTATTATAATAGTAAATACAATTTGTGGCTCATATCTATACATCAGGATTACCTCCAAAAACAAATTAGAGATTATAAAGACCCTAGAGATCTTTCCCAAGGCCCTGGTTGTAGAGATGAGGAAAACAGATCTGTGGGGAGAGAAGAGACTCACCCTAAGATCCACCAGCAGAAATGGGAACATAAGTCCTGATTCCTCTACGGGGTGGATCATTGCGTTCTCTCCTCAGCTCCTACGAGGGCCCTGCTGGGGCGGCTGCCAACCTGTGGCACCCTCAAGCGGTGGGAACCCTGATGTCTGATTCACCACGGTTCCTGCCCCCGACACGGCTCTCCCTGGAACAGAAGTGTTACCCAGGGGGCTTGGTCCACAGCAGGCATTCAGTAGAACCCTAGGCAGGATTTGACCCAGGCCACCTTCCCCTTCGAGGCCTGTTTCCTTAAGTGGGATAAAATGGTCTTTCGGAGCCTCGCAGTCCTGACATGCCACAGTTTCAAGAACTGGCCTTACTTAACCACAAACACATGGCTGGAAAGCTCAGCTAGCCGGAACCTTCCCCAGAAGTACCTTCCTTGGGAGGAATGGGCAGAGCCCAAGAAAGCCTAGTCACCCACTGCCCTTGCACAGTTTTTCCCAGCTTATGGCCCACTGGGGTCTACGTTGTCTTATTGGCTGCGTCCCTGCTCCACAGAAAGCAGCCCGAGACTTGCCCAGTCAGGACCAGGGCTCAGAACGAAGGAGGATCTAGAACAGTGCTGTGCACGGAGCATGCACTCCATAACCACCCACCAACATGAAACACGAGCCCACACAAAGTGGTTTTGCCAAGGAGGGAGCCCTGGACCGGGAGCCTGGAGGCCGGGGACTGAGCCCACGCTCTCCCCTCTCACTGGTTGGGGCTGCTGCTCTGGCTGTAAAAGGTGGTCATCGGATGGCGGGACCCCCTCCCTGCTGAGACCTCGCAGCTCCCCGCCTTCCTCAGGGCACCCAGCAGGCTGGGCTGGGGTCTGTGTACGGTCTGCCCTCCATCCCTAGAAGAAAGCGACTCTGCCTTTATTCATCACCCTATCTTCCCAAGCCCACCCCAGACCTAAGCAGAATAGGTTTCTGGAAAAAGGCGGCAGGGAGGGAGGGTGGGAGGAAGGGGTCTGAAGTCCCTCCGGAACTAACAATCCACACGTCCACAAAGCTAGGTTCTAAGGCAAGTCACTGCAAGTGTCTGTTAGGTAGGACCTTGCTGATGGTGGAAACACCACAGGGGAAGGAAAGGCAAAGAACTTCAGAGGTGAAACGCCATGTTAACCCCTTTCGGCTCAGGCCCAGCTAACTTCCCAAAGCACAGGCCTGTGGGTCCACGTGTGTGAAGGCCGCCAGGCTGTGGGATGTGGGGAGTCCTGCCTTCCCCGTGGGACCCTCAGTGATGCTGGTGTTGGAGGCCATGACGCACTTCCGTCTGCAGAGTTCATCAGTTACATGTCAGTGCTTTCCAGCCCAGAGCCTACAGTTCCAGTGCAGGAACACAATGTAGCAGGATTCCGAAGGATTCAGGAACAGAGAGGGGATCTTATAAATAACTCCTGGTTAAAACAGAGCTGAAAATAAGGAGACAGGAGAGGAAGCAGATTGCGAAGCGCAGGTTGACTCAAAACCATTGGCCTGAAAACCTTCGTGCAAATGGCTGGTCCTTCTCGTCGGAAGATCACACACAGGATCGGACCTGGAGGCGCTGAGACCGTGTGTGTGCCTGAGGATGCAGGTGAAAGCGCGAGGCTCCCAGCACACGGTGTCGAGGTGAAGATGCTAAGACACGGGGCTCGCGGTAGATCTCGCGGCGTCACTTAAGGGACTCAAATCAGTTGCAGTGACCGTGGTTAAGACCCTGGACCCCCCTGAGCCACTCTGTCTTCACAGGAAGGTCTGGCTGCTGGGTTGATCTGTAAGCTCTGAGATTCTAGACAGCAATTCACAGCTGAGGCTGCGGTATAAAGGCCTGGAAGCCAGAAGTCGGAACTAAATCTTGACAGTGCTCCCATGTCCGGTCTCCCCCGTTTCCGTTCCGGAGGGCCTGCCTCTAGCTGCGACAAGGCCACTACAGTGCGAGCTCTCCCCAGTGCTAAAACGGAGCGCAAATGTGCTTTACTCACTTGCAATCCCCCAGGGCCCCTGATCTTGGGGTGTGGCCCAGCAGCATGCTACCGGGCGGCAGGGTGGGGACACGGGGCCCCGGCGGAGGCCAGGGAGCTTAGCACACAGCCGGCCCTGCCCGGGGCGGGGGGGGGGGGGGGGGACACGCGGTGGGGGCCAGCCCTGCCTCCTGGCCCGCACCACCCACGCAGGAAGCTGAACGCCGAGGCCGTGACAGCCTGAGCGGCAGCCCCGCCCCGCCCCCGCCCGGCGCAGGAGGGAGAGGAGGAGCGGGGTCCTGCTCGCCGCGGGGCCGGCCAGCCCGCCCCCCTCAGCAGCAGCTGCAGGCGCCCGTGTGCACGCGCAGGATGCCCCGGCTGTGCAGGTGCAGGAAGTTGAAGATCTCGGAGGGCATGGCGTGGAAGCCGGGGCGGGGCTTGACGTTGTCATAGTAGTGGTGGGTGATGTAGAGGCCCGAGGGGTTCATGGGGAAGGCCCAGAAGCCGAACAGGTGCACCTCCTCGCAGAGCTCGAGCGCCGCCGTGGCCAGGATGAGGCCGGTGCTGATGCGCTTGGCGCGCACCCCCAGGCTGAGCCAGTAGCGCGACACGTTGACCAGGTACTGCGGGTGGAAGTAGTACACGGCCTGCGGCGACTCGAAGTCGTCCAGCACGTACTTGACGCGGATGGACACGTCGGTGTTGCGCGTGTTGTAGAAGGCGGGCAGCAGCAGCGACGCGTTCTCGTACACCTGCAGCACCCGGTAGAAGGGCCGCCGCCACTTCTCCAACTTGTGGAACCTGGGCGGGGCCACAGCGACACGGTCGGCAGGCCACTCCCCAGGCCGTGGGCGCCCCGGAGCCCCTGCCGCCCCCACCCGCCACCCCGGGGCCCCTTCGGGGCACGCAGGGCACTCCAGGCCACCCTGCTGCTCCCTTTCATTTCCTTCGCCTCCGAAGGTGAATGCCCGGCCTTTCTCGGGGACAGCTGTATTTGTGTAAGTGGGCCCCCAGGGACAACAGTGTAGGGACCGCCGTGCTTCACCCCAAGGGGTGAGGGCGTCCCCGGGTGGACTCGGTGGGGCAGGGGTGACGAAGTGGAGGCTCTCCCTGGAGTCCGCAGGCCATTCACCCGTACGTTCTCTCCCAAGGCCCCCAGTGAGGTACACCAAAAGAGTCTGCCTGTCCTCTCAGCCGCTCCTCCCCCACAGCCCCCCCTCCCCTTCTTCCTCACATGAAAGGGCCCTCCTGTGGGCTCATCTCCCTCCTCTCCCCTGCTCCTTCACTCTGCTGACTCCGTTAGTGTCCCTGGGCACCTCACCCCATTTACCAACTCCCCACCCTCTGGTCTCTGGCTGTCCCCCGTCTTGCCCCTAGCCTGACCTGGATGGTGTGACTGTGCCCCTGGCTGGAGTTTTAACCCCTGAACCCCCTTCCCTGAGGCCTCCCACACGGACAGACCCCAGGAGGGGCACTCAGCGGGGACTGAGATCTTTGTGTGAGGCTTCTCCCCAGCGCCGCCAGGACACAGCAGCATAGGAAGCTGCCTGTCCCCATCACACACTGGAGAGCTTTATGGCCCGTCTAGGTGAAGACTGTCCCGACCAGTGCTGTCCAAGGGAACCATCATGGAGGCCACATATGTAATTTTCAACGTCCTAATGATCACATTTAGATAAGCAGAAAGACATGGGTGAAATTAATTTTCATCATATTCTATTGAATGCTCACAGTGTTTTATTTAACTTGATATACCCCCAATACTACTATTTCCACATGTAATCAACATAAACAATTGATGAGCTGTGGCCCATCGTCTTTTCCATGGTAAGTCTTTGGACTCAGGTGTGTGTCTCCCGCTATGGACAGCACCTGTCAACCTGGATGCCGCATTCCCCGTGGCCGGTAGCCACGCGTGGCAGTCAGGGCTGCTCTCCTGGACAGCACGAGTCTGGGGGAGGCTCACTGACCTCTCTGTGATGATGCTGGGGTTCACAGTGACCACATCCGTCTTCACGCCCACATCCATGGTGTACTTCTCTGAGATGGGGGGTAGGTTGCACCTGCAGAAGACACAAGAAGCCTGGCTGCATGTACTCACTCATTCCAGAGGGAGCTGGAGAGTGGGCAGCGCGAGGGTGTGTGGGGAAGGCAAGATAGTGCTCACACGCAGAGGGGTGCCGAGGCAGCCAGCGGGGTGGACCCTTGGTAGCCTGCGCATGGAGGGGCAAGTTCAACTCCTTCCCTCTCCCACCCTGAGAGGCACGGTGATTATGGATCCATGACCCGTGAGACCCCACTACAACCTCACCCCCAATCCCTTTGCTTTAAGCTTTTATTTTCAACCCATCTTCTTGATCCAGGCTAAAGACTATAGGCGAGGATCACCAAAGAGGTAAGAGGGGACTCTATCTAAGGAAGAAGAAATACAAGGGCCAGTCTCCAGCAAAGCCAACACTGGTGTCTGTCAGCCACAAGGTTGCCCTGGTTCCAAACACTGCTTCTGGAAGAGGAGAACTCAACCAGGGAGGTGGCCGCAACCTCCCATTCTGCAGATGTGGAGACTTGAGGCCCTGACAGGTTCGGCCACTGGCCCCGAGGGACAGGGCTGGAGAAGGGAAGGAACAAGCCAGAGTGTAAAGGTGTGCAGGGGTGGGGAGTGGGGACCGGTCACCTGAAGGACAGCAATAGGGCACAGGGCATTAGGGCATGGGGCTGGGGGCGCCACCAGAGGGAAGGGCAGGGAACGGGAGGGCCGTGGGGGGTAGAAGCAGCAGGTGCAGGGTCGGGGCCATTCTTTTACCGGAAGACAAAGTCGGCGCTGTTGATCTCCCTCCCACAGCGGCTGTTCTTTAGGATGCCTCCGTTGCCCACCACTGCACACTTCTTAAACTGGGACCGGTAGTAGGGCATGTCCTGGGAGAGATGGGCACACAGCTGTCAGGGGCAACGCCCTCCCTGCCTTCTTCCGCTGCCCTCACCCCTGTACCCACGGCCGCCTCTCCGAGCCAGCCTGGCAGGGACTGTGGGGGGAAAGTGGTTATTCCACCTTGCAGATGAGAAGAGTGGTCAGGAGACTTGTTCTCAGTCCCCCCTGGCAATTACGAAAGCTGGAAGAGAAGCGGGGTCTCCACAGCCTTTTTCAACAAGCCCTGGGATGCCTCAGGTTTCCTGAAAGAAGGGAGTACAGGTGATGGCCAGTCCTGCTTGCTTTTGGTTTTCCCAATGTTTGGAAGCTCATCTTCTTTATGACTTCCCAGATGCATAGTCTATTGGCTCGTGCAGATGTGCTGGGGGATGACAGCAGCAGAGATGGGGACAGGGCCCTAAACCTGGCCCTCCCCCCTTTCAGCTCAGGGCAAGGTACACAGGGAGGACGTAGGCCTGGGACACCAAGGTCATATGGCCTGGGACAGATGCTGGGACTTGGCAGCAGCAGGGACAAGAGACCAAGGGTTGAGAAGCAAGGCCACCAGTGAGAGCAGTGAGAGCCTGAAACACCTCAAATCTCTGCAGAGGAAGAGCTCCGAGTACAGGAGAGCCCAGGGACAGTGGCCCTCGCAGGAGCCCTGGGCGTGACCACCTCACAGCACTTTGACCTTGTCACGCCCTGACTGCTGGGCTTAAGTCGGTCTGGGCGCCGGCTGTCCACAAAGGCTCCCTGGCCATGCCTTCCAGGGGACCCGAGGCAAGCGCTGGCTGGCCTGAGGAGTTAAGAGTCCTGGTCCTGCCACGTCCCTGCTCTAGGTCATAATCCCCTCCTGGGCAGCCGGGGGCGGACGGAGCCCAGCAGCCACACACACGGCACAGGCAGAAGCACAGACCTGGAGTCAAGGGTAGGGGGACCAACCACCCCAGCTGGCCCAGGACTGGGGAGCTTTGTCTACGATGCAGGACTTTGCTTGGGTCCACCCAGGAGAGTCTGAGGCCAACCAGGATTGGGCGCCCGAGGCAAAAGCCCCAAGCTCAGCCCTGGTTTTGCCCCATCATGAGATGAAGGAACCATGGACTGGTGTTCTGAGTTCTCAGCAACTCAGTTTTTCCACCTGCAAAATTCGGATAATAACATGCGAGTGTCATGCTTTTCAATGCGATGATGCAGAGCAGAGTTTCTCAACTTGGCGCTTGCTGACATTTTGGACCAGATCATTCCTCATTGTGGGGGGCTGACCCGTGCACTGCAGAACGTTTAGCAGCGTCCGTGGCCTCTCCCCACTAGATGTCAAGGGTATCATGACGACCAAAATGTCTCCAAACATTGCCAGAGGTCCCCATGGTGGTGTAAACGAAAAGCCTACCCAGTGCGGTGCTTGACCCACGGGTATCTCTGCACGGGGACCAGGTTGTTATTATTGTCATGAGGCCCCGAAGCTCCCCCCGGGGGCCCACAAGCCTGCGGGACTCCCCACCTAGCACACAGCAGCTGGCCAGCCCTGAATGACCGTGGCCCTGGCGGCACCTTGGGCTTCCAGTGGGGCCTGCTGCCAGGTGGCGTCATGGGTCGCTCAATCACACCACAGCGGACCCTCAGGGAGGAGGCTAGATCTGCAGGAGGGGCTGCGTCTGTCTGTGGGAAGCTGTCCCTCAAGGCCCATTTTCCCTGGAGGGAGGGGCCCAGGGGCCACGGGGGGTGGGGGTTGGGGGGGAAGGGTATCTCAGAGCCAGTGGGGAAGACGGCACTGCTTGACTTCCACCAGGGAAAGGAAAACACCAAAGTTATCTTTGGAGAGAGGGAGGCCTTTTATGTTCTATGTCAGTGTTTCCCAAACTTCTGCACATCAAAAACAACCTGGAGTACTTTCTGAAAATAGAAATTCCTGGGTTCCATCCCAGAACCATGGAATCAGAATCTCTAGGGCGGGGGTAGGAGACCAAGAAGCTGTATTTTATACAAACCCGAAGAAAGACTTACCTACCCTGAGGTAATACTTCTACGTCACAGGATCTGATTGGGGGGAGGGGGTGGCTCATTATGGCCTCCGGCCTCGGGCCACATCAGACCTGCCCGTTTCTGTATCCACCCCCCTTCCCCCAGAGCTAAGCATGGATTTTATCTTTGTAAATGGTTGGGGGGAAAATCAAAAGAAGAAGATTTTGTGACATGTAAAAATTAGGTGCAGTTCACATTTCAGTGCCTAATAGGAACTAGAGTGTTCCTGGAGCCCAGCCACCCTCACTGGCTCACGGAGGTCTGTGGCTGCTTCGTGCTGGCACCAGAAAGGTAAATAGCTGTGACAGAGACCATATGGCCTGCAAAACTTAAAATGTTTACTCTCCGGCCCTTTCCAGGGAACATTTGGCAACCCTGCTCTAACTCCCTGGGCCTCGGCAGTCCAAACCCATAGCCCTCCGTGGACCCATATGTCATAACTGAGCTGTGTGTCACCCACTGGCATGACCCGCACGAGATGCAAATCCACCTGCTGTCCCCAGCCTCCTGTTCCGGGCCTTGCAAGACCCACCTCGTAGAAGCTGGCTTGTATCCATCATCCTCCAGTGCTGTGATGGGGGAGAGTCTGTGTGACCCTCTGTGCAAGTACCAGAATGCAGGGAGCCCTAGGCTTTGTTTCATGAGCCCTCCCGTGGAAGCAGGGCAGCCCAGACCCTCGGATTTCATCCAGAAAGACCTGAACACACCCCCATTCAGCATGTCTACACTCTGGACCCACTAAGTCCTGCTCTGGATCCAGCAGTCTCCAGGAGGTGCTTATGCACCCATCCAGTGAAATCTTCCTCCTCTTTAGATGATAACCATCAGAATGAGCTGAAAATGCAGGTTCCAGGGCTCCTTCTCTGAGAGTCTGATGCCGCGATCAGGCCACAGGTGAGTGCATATGCCCAGCCTTCAGTGACCTGAGCCGTTCACGCAGGGGGATCACTTACCCTCTTCCCCCTGGTGGCCAGGGAGCCACGTGCTAGCCTTGAAGAACAACCTAGCTCCAGACTTCTTTTATGTAAAGGAGAACAATTAACATCTAACTTGTTAAGTGAGATTCTCTGTTATGAGCAGCCACACCTATTCCTAGCCCAAACTCCAGTGTTACGGACAGGGAGACTGAGGCCTTGGAAGACATCATAACATAACCGTCCAAGGTCAGCCAACGTGAGATCAATCTTTCTCGCTTTGCTTTCTACTGGTTTGTGATTTCTTGGGCACACCTTTGCACAACGTTTTTTGCTCCTGCGCCTGCCTCCAGTGGGAGACTTAATCACTGTCCCAGGTATCTTCAGGATGTCCTCGGCAAGCAACGCAATAACCAAAATTTGATAAGCAAAGTCACTCAAAGAGTAGCCAGTTGGCATTCACTGGGCCAAGACAGGAGCCCTGGAGGGCAGTCTGCTGAGCCAACCAGAGCCAGGACGGTGGGTGCGGAGGGCACGGCAGAGGGATGCCACACCCCAAGGGCAGGGCCGCATAGGGCCATATGGGGTCGCCCCTTTGCCCCGCCCAGACTGCCCTGCCCAAAGCAGCACCTTGGGAAACATGCGGAAGATCTCCTGGTTGATGTGGTAGATGCCGCTGGTGTCCACTTCATACTTGAGCTTCGTCCCCAGGGGGGTGTTCTTCTGGGTGGTGAAGAGGAAGGAGGGGGCATTGCAGCACCTGGACAGAGTGGACCTGCCAGGCAGGAGACAGAGTGGGAGAGACAGGTGACATGGGGCAGAGCCAAGCTTCTGGAAGAACAGGGGGGTCACGGAACTGAGGCTCCTCAAGGTGATCAGGGAGCTCCGTGCCCTCCCACCCACCCCTTCCTGCACTCACCCCCCACCCCACACCCCTGCTCATGCTATTCCTCTGCCTTCAACATGCCTCCCAGTGCCTGGGCCTTTCCTCCTCTCCTCACACCGTCCTTGCTCCCCGTGAGCTCCCAGCTGCCCACCCCACGGACCTCACTGGCCTCCGAAGACCTGGTGCACAGACTGGATACCACCTACTTCATCACCTACCGACTCCCTCCCCACCTGAATGAAAGCCCCTTGATGGCAGGGACCCTGCCTCTCTGGATCCTGCCCGGTGTTAGTCACACGAGTGTGGACAGCCAGCTGCTGGCCATGGTGGGATGAATCACGCCTCACTCGGGCGCTCATCAAGATCCACTAAGCATTCTACTACTTGCTGGAAGTGTTTCTCCAGCCTTGATGGAAATCTGGGGATAGAGAGCTCATCCTTGGGTTCCTGGCCCCTAGCAGACTATAAACAAGGCATTTACCCTGTCTCAGGGGAGGAAAAACCCAAGACAAAATGGTCAATGGAAGCGTGCAATTTCAATCATTTAGAGTTTTAGGAAGGGGGGTCATCAGAAAGTGGGCTGGTGGGCTGATGCTGGACCACTTCCTGCAGAAAGAGGAGTCTGACTGATTTCCAAAATAGGTTCTCAGGAGTTCACTGTTTAAAAAAAAAAAAAAAAAAGGCGCTGGCTTTCACTCACAAAAAAATACTCAAACAGAAGCTACAGAAGGGTTAAAGCTCAGATGATGCAAGTAGGCTTTACAAAAATAAAAAATAAAAAAATAAACCCTCCTAGGGAGAAGGTAGCTGCTGAGGCAGATTTGGGAGCCGGCCAGGCCAGAGACGGCAGAGTTGTCCGTCATCCCTTGGGTGGGAGCTAGTACTCCAGCTGGTCACTCCCTCTCTGAGGCCTGGTGAGGGGTCGGGCCCTGGGCCCCGCCCTCCCCTGCCCTGGGGGCCCAAAGCCCTCCATAGCTAACAAAGCAGGCCAACTTCTGCTCTCTCACATGGGGGCTTTGAGCCCACAAGGCTCCATTTCTTCCAGAAGCAGCAGTGGGTGCCAAGTCCACACTGGCCTCCTCCCCCCAACACTGGCTCCAGGCACAGTCCCATGCAGCATCTAGGAGGCCCCAGGAGGGATGGGACACCTTCTCCACGGAGCTGGGATGATGACCACCACCAACGTTTGAGGAGGAGCTTTCTGGAAAGTTCCCCTCCAAGGTCTGGGATGGAAACTTGGGGTTGCCACCCTGGTGTCAAGAGGCTTGGGTTCTAGTTTCTGGTCTGCTCCCACCAGCGGTGGGGCCCTGGTCAGGTGTCTTCCCTAGGCTGGACCTCAGCTTCCTCGTCTGTAGAATGCAGCCTTGGCTGGTCCACCTCTGACCCTCTGTAATTCTGTGACTGTAGGTTGCCAAAGCCAGGAAGGTTATAAAATTATTTTTTATGACTTTCTCTCTTGCAAGGGTTTCACTGGGGCGCTCAGCTGTCTGTTGGTCACAGAGAGAGGCCTTTCCTGTGGAGTGCTGAGTTTCAGAATGTGACTAAGGCCTCCCAGAGTGGGGGCCAGGCAGAGGCCATGGGTCAGCATTGGCCCATTTAGCTTTGCTGGTCCAGGAACTCAATCTTGTCAGCCTGCTGGAGAGTACTCCATAGAGGGTGACTGACTCCCATTAACCAAGTTCACGAATGACTGATACGTAAACCAGAATGCCAATGTGTCTATTTGTAGGCAGTAGGGTGGGGGAAGGCCTCAGTTAAAGGGCCCCTCTCCTACAACTGGAAAGCTCATGTCCCTCTTCTAGCACACCCCTTCCACGCCGCCCACTTCACCGTGCCAGGCTCTTACAAGCCTGAGTTAAGAATCTCATCACGGTTTAATGAGCTTGTGACGAGAGCAAAGGGGGGCCACCCAGTGGCCTTAAAGGTTTTTCCATTTAAAGCCTAGCAAGACCTGATGTCATCTCCCTTTTCCACATCTGACACTACTCCCCACCCCCCCGCCGCCACCACCCCCGGAAGGGTCCCGGCTGCCCCGGAGCCTCTCCCCAGGATAGTGCCGGCTGATCCCTACTGAAGGCCCCCACACTCATCCTTGTTTTTCTTCTGTCACCTCACCTTCCTGTTGCTTCCTTATTCCCTTAGATTTGTGAATCCCAGCAAGGAGACTTCTGGGCCTCTCTCAGCTCTCAGCCCGGACAACATCCTTTTGCATCCCATGGACCTCGACTAGGCTGGGTGTGGATGAGCCACACCACCAGGACGCTCAGGCCTCGGCCACCCCCGGGGGCGTCTGCCCATGCAGTGCCCACCGTAACACCTCTTGCTAAGAGGCAGATTTGGGGTGGCACCTGCCGCACAGATCTTGGCCCTGTTCTTGCTTCCCAGCACTCTGCTCCAAGTTCACGTTTGACTTTTATGATGGGGCATGTGGGGCCTTAGCCAGGAATCCGCAGGCTCATCGGGGCCTCTGGGTCGGGGCTGCTGGCACCTTCTCTTCAGGGGTTACCACACTAGACATCCTCATTTCTAGAAATGTGCCACTTAAAACCACAACTCGGTCTCTAGATGGGGCCCGGAACTGCAGCAAACTGGAACAAATGACTTCGAAGGAAAAGACAAAATGCTGAGTGTCATTTGCTTTCCACAGCCTCCCGGGTAGGATGGCCGCGTGCTGACGCCTCCTCGGTACATGTGAACTCCAGCCTGACTTGCCTGCCTCCGGTTCATGCACACATTCCTAGAATCCCACCGATTCCACTCCGTGAGCTCCATCTGCACCACAACAATACTGGGAGCTCACAGGAGTTCAGCGAAGGAGAGAGCCTACAGTTCCCACCGATCAAAAGGGATTTGTGGACACATGCTGGCTGCTTAGCTCTCGCAGACAGGGGAACCTGAAGCTACAGCTCTTGCCTCTCTGGGAGCTTATAACCTATCACTTTGGGTGAGAAAGCAATCAGAGACGAATCTGCAGCAGGCCTCACACGTCTGGTGCAGGCTGCCCCACGAGGGGGTGGCGACAGGGGGCGGCCAGAGGAGATGCTCAGCGCGCCTTCTCGCTCAGGCTTGCTGGAGACATGGAGCCCAGCACGGCACTGTGACGGGCTGTCGTGGAGACAACACCCCCGCCCCGCGGGGCTGCCGTGAGGACGAAGGGCCGGAATGTGGGGGACAGCCGCCAGCAAGGTGCCCATCTCAGCCTGTGCACTGAGTCAGAACCTCCCCACGGCCCAGATCCCAAAGCGCAGGCGGGGTCAGCTCTGGGGAAGATGAGCCCAGGGCGGGGCCCTGCGGGACGGGGTGGCAGGAAGGAGAACAGCACCAACGGCAGGGCTGGGGAGGGCAGACAAATCACAGATACTTGAACTGGTTGGCTTCAGAGATATTCATCGCCCATCTGCACATCTGCAGGCTCTTCCATCTGTCGAACAGCTCCGACTGCTTCACCCTTTGGGAGGCGAGGACAGAAGAGCACGTGAAAGGGGCCAGGCTGGACAGAGTGTCGGCATTCCCAATCCTCCCTTCCTGCTCCCCAGGTGCCACATCCTGGGGTGGTCCTTTCCACGAAAGGTGTTTTCTTATTTGGGGTATTCTGGCTGCTCCGGCATCTGGGGCCTTGCCCATTCCTAGAGATAGCCAACCGCCCTCCTGCAAGCATGCCTTCCACCTTCCTCATTGTCAGTTCTGTCAACGGAGCCACCAGCCTTAAGGGAACTCAGGAACGCCCCGAATTACAGACAAAATCCCCTGTCTGTCCACCCATGTGCATATCTTAGGGGAGAATCTGAAGCTTTCATTGGCTTCCCAAAGAGGTCTTTGATTCTAAAAACAAGGCAAATACTCACTTAACCATAAAGTAAAAACCAGGTTCATTCTACAGAGCTGGGTCCCTGTGTTTCGTTGGCGGGGAAACAGTTGCTCCCAAAGAGGGCAAGCCTCCCCCACAGAAGGAACGCACACATGACGGTGCGGGGAGGGGTGATTGCCGGAGAAGTCATACCGGATGGCAGCAAAGTGTGTGGATTTTGGAGCTAGAAGAGGAGCTGGGCCCCGGACCCAGTCCAGACACCTCCTAACTAAGGGACTTCAGACAGGGTATTTGACCTCTCGGAGCTTCATCTATATAATGAGCATAATAATAGATTATCACTCACAGTCCCAGATCTGTTAAGATTATTAAATAAAATGATACAATAAAGGGCTAGGCATGGGAAGTGCGCACGGAAAGCTCCTGAGAGAGGAAAGTTATTTTTATGGTTAAACCGCACTGCCATGAGGATGCTTGCTCACGATCCCCTGACTTTTCCCTTTTGTAAAACCCATAACCTGTCCTTACTCACTCCTAATTTTTCCCACAAGAAAGTAAATACTGTGGGGTCAGGGGGTCATGTCTGAGGTCACCCCCATAAATCCAGTGCTAAGGCACATGGCCAATGTGTGGGAAATAAGTGTTGAGCATATCAATAAATTAGTGAATGAATCCATAAGTCTGGGTTCAAATAGAGTCTATAATTATTGATTGTACTCCTCTATATGGCACGAACTGGGGATAGAGCAGAGAACAAAACAGCTTGCTGTTCCCATGGAGCTTAAATACTAGTAAGGAGGCAAATGGAAAACAGATATGTATGCATATGACAACAAAAGCACAAATGACAAAAGCAAAAAGGGACAAGTGGGATCATGTCAAACTAAAAAGCTTCTATACAGCAAAGGACCACAACAGAGTGAAAAGTCAACATACAGAACAGGAGAAAGTATTTGTAGACCATATATCTGATAAGGGGTTAAAATCCAAAATAGATAAGGAACTCCTACAACTCAATAGCAGAAGACCAAATAACCTGATTTTAAAATGGGCAGAAGTGGGGCACCTGGGTGGCTCAGTCAGTTAAGCATCTGCCTTTGGCCCGGGTCATGATCCCAGGGTCCTGGGATTGAGCTCTGCATCAGGCTCCCTGCTCAGCGGGGAGTCTGCTTCTCTCTGTCCCTCTGCCCCCCACACCGCTCGTGCTCTCTCTCCTCTCTCTCAAATAAATAAATAAGATCTTTTATAAAAATTAAACAAAAAATAAAAATAAAATGGGCAGAAGACTTGAACAGACATTTCTCCAAAGAATACATCTAGATGGCCAACACGCACATGAAAAGGCACTCAACATCACTCATCATCAGGGAAGGGCAAATTGAAACCCCAACGAGATATCATCTCACACCTGTTAGGATGGCTAAAATCAAGAAAACAAAAAAGATCACCAGCGTTGGCGGGGATGTGGCAAAAAGGGAAGCCTGGCACAGTGCTGGTGGGAATGCACACTGGCATGGCCGGCATGGAAAACAGCATGGGGTTTCCTCCAAAAATTAAAAATAGAACTACCCTATGATCCAGCAACTCCACTTCTGGGTATATACCCAAAAGAACTGCCATCAGGATGGGAAAAGAACTAGGTGCACTCCCATGTTCACTGCGGCATTATTCAGTAGTAAGCAGGGTATGGAAACCAGCTAAATGTCCCCTGATGAGTGAATGGATAAAGAAAATCTACAGATGTACAGATGTACAGATGTACAGTGGAATACTCTTCAGCCTTTCACCAGAAGGAAATCTGCCATAGGTGACAAGCTGGATGAATCTGGAGGACATCATGCTGCGTGAAATAAGGCGGTCACGGAAGGATGTACATGACAGGATTCCACTCATGGAGCATCTAAATAGTCGATCTCAGAGAAACAGAGAGTAGAATGGTGGTTGCTGGAGGCTTTGGGAAAGAGAAAGGGGGAGCTTCTGGCTCCTCCACGATCTACTTATTCTAATGAATAAGTGCTAGAGATCCGTTGTACAACTTAGTGCGACCTTTAACAATACTGGATTATACGTTTAAGAGGGCAGATCTTGTGTCAAGTGTTATTACCCCAACTAAGAAAAAGAAAACAGATAATAATGCCATGTCAGGGAGAGGTGAGTGCTATGAAGAAAAATGAAGCAAGGTAAAGGAACTAAAAAGTGACTGTTTCAGAAGGGTTGGTCAGGGAAGGCTTCCCTGAAGAGGAGAACTTTGTACAAAGAACTGAAATGGTTGGCGTGAGCCATGTACACATCTGGGGAAGGAGTATTCCAGGCAAAGAGAAAAGTGAGTACAAAGGCACTGGGGCAGGAACTTAGTTGGCAGGTTTAAGGAGCTGGAAGGAACCCCTCCTTCCAAGCTGATGCCTTCCTTCTGGCTTCCCCAAACCTCCCACGGTAGCCCTCACGTCTCAGGTTAATGTGACATCAGAAGAGAGGCATTACATAGCACCCCCCGCCTCACCCACTCTTCCCTCCCCTGCTCTCTGCAACCTATAGGCCCCTAGAACAGCACCCGACATGGCCAGTGCCTCAGACACCTCCTGGAAACACAGTCCTCGCAGGACTGCAGGCCGGAGTCCCAAGTCCAACTGTCACCAGCATCTGGGTCCCGTTCTCTGTGCCTCCAATGCCTGTCACGCGCTGGACAAAGGCTGGGGCCCGAACACCCAACCTTGAATCCTGGCTCCATCCCCAACTTGCAGTGTGACCTTGGACAAGTCATTGAATCTCTCTGAGACTTGGATGCTTTATCTGTACAACGGATATAATAACCTCTGCCCTGCTAATCTCCAGGGTTGTCAGAAAGATCAAATGAGATAATATGCATAAAAATACTTTATAAATTGCTTTACAAATGTAGAGATCACCTTTACTTTAAAGATGAGGGGTTGACCCCAGGCTCTGATCTCCTTTCTCTGCAGACACCACTAAAATTCCAGAAGAGGAATAAAAAAGTTATAGACCTACCAGATGAATAGAATGATGGCAGTGGGGGGAGTTCAGTGGAAGAGAGATTTCGACAAGTGTGTGGAAGGAGGAGGGGGGTCATATGGAGGGGTGACATGGCCCAGAGACAGAGTCCAACCCCACGGGCCATTTTTAAAGGGGGTGGAGGGTGGAGATGGGGCATGGTGCTGAAAATGAGCATCAGCTGTAAGTCTGTATCCAGAACCATCAAACCCACCCCCACAGCAGCCAAATATTCAGTGTCCAGCAGAGGGAGGGGAGGGATTGAATCAGACTGTCAGTTCCTACCAAAAAACAAAAACAAAAACAAAAACCAATTATCATTCCCAGTGAAAAGCTTTGGACATTCTAACAGCAAAAGGAGTAGCATCTCCAACAATGACTCTTGAAGAAGGCCTGCTCTCCTACAGAGTTCCTAACAGCTTTTTATTGTTCTAAATTTAAATATGAATAAAATAACCAAGGATCACCTGGTTAACTGGAAGGAAACAGATGAAGACAAACCATCAGTTAAAATATCCAAAGAGAGGGGCACCTGGGTGGCTCCTTCCGTCTGCCTTCGGTCAGTCTGCCTTTGGCTCAGGTCATGATCCCAGGATCCTGGGATCAAGCCCTGCATGGCGGGGGGGGGGGGGGGGGGGGTTCCCTGCTCAGCGAGGAGTCTGCTTCTCCCTCTCCCTCTGCCTCTCTTCCCAGTTTGTGTTCTCTCTCTCAAATAAATAAATAAAATCTTTAGAGAAAAATATTGGAGGAACCAAATACAACTTTAAAATACTCTACTTAGTGTCTCCAGAGAGTCTAAAAGACATGACATCCTTAAAGGTCGGAATAGATTGCTCTGAGGACAAAGAAAGAGCTCTAGGGTGGGAACAAGTTCGTTAAAAGAACTGGAAAATGAAGTCAAGGACTTTTCTCAGAAAGTGGAAGCAATGGGCAGAGACAGAAAAAATGGCATCAAACAGGGAGCGCTACATGAGCGATCCAGAAGGTCCGGTGGACAACCCTTAGAAGGACCAGAAAGAGGAAGTAGAGAGGAATGGAGAGAAGGAAATATTTTATTTTATTTTATTTTTAAAAATTTTACTTATTTATTTGACAGAGAGAGACACAGCGAGAGAGGGAACACAAGCAGCGGGAGTGGGAGAGGGAGAAGCAGGCTTCCCGCGGAGCAGGGAGCCCGATGCGGGGCTCGATCCCAGGACCCTGGGATCATGACCTGAGCCGAAGGCAGATGCTTAACGACTGAGCCACCCAGGCGCCCTAGGTAATATTTTAAAAATCCAAAAGAACGTTCAAGAGTTTGGACATGAGCCCCGGATGAAGAGGTCCAACAGCCGTCTATCCTGAAGCATATCATCCAGACATTTCAGAACCACAGGATCCAGAAACACTCCAGAGAGAAGAAAACAGGTCACCTCCAAAGGAGCAGATGGCATCATGCTCCCATCGCCCTGGACACTAGAAGGCGACGGGGGAAGTCTTCAGCGCGTTCAGGGGGAAAATGATTTTCTCCTAAAATTCCAACCCCACCAAACCAACAATCGGGTATAAGGGAAGAATTAAGTCATTTAGACATAGAACTCAAAACCTGACCTCCTACCAATCATTTGGAAATGACTGGAAGATGGGTAGAAGCAAAATGAAGGCGTAAACAAGAAGTAGCTATGGGTTCTCCACAAAACTGAATCCAAGCAGAGGAGTCAGGGAAGGGAAGTTCCCAGGACATTGGCGTCTGGCCCAGCAAGAGAGCAGGCTGTCCACACTGGAGCACAAGGATAAAGAGAAACTCTGAGGGGAAGGCTGGTTGGAGAGGCAAGCAGAAACCCGAAATAGGGCATAATAGAGACAAAGAGTTCAAGAGGGAAAAGATGAGTAGAAGCTCCAGGAAAAAAAAGGGGAGGGGGAGGATGTACAAGAAAGGAAGGAGAATCACTATTTTCTGTTCTTTAAATTTTAGAGTCAACCTAGAGAGGAAACCCCCAAAAAAGGCTTGTTATGGGTACCAATAGAATGACCTTTTAAAGGTAAATACACGGACGACTGGAACCAAAACATAGGGATGATTTTAATAGCCCCATCTTACAAAGTACAGGCTCAAGAGATACTGCCAGTATTTGGTAGAACCAGAAATAAGTTACTCAGGCAATCTATAGACAGAAGAACTAAAAACAGCACTATCCCCCAACCCAGAAGAGTGGGGAGGGGGTGGGGGTGGCATAAGGGGGCTGAATCCTCACCCACCAAGGCAGGACGTCAGTGCACACGGCAGTAAGTTGAGAAATAACAGCAGGTGCGTGTTACTGAGAGGTGTGGAGGTAATGACCGGAAGAAACAGCCAGAGTCCAAAGGAGCAGGCTGCAGGGCGAAGGTGTGGGGCAGGGGACTGTGGCTTTTTATTATTACCAGCTTCTCGATCCTACTTGATTTTTCCTGCCATGGCAACAGATGGTGAGGATAAGGAGGTGATCGTGACCATCTCTGTTCTTTCTCCCCCGTTCCTCCGCTGGCCTCCTCTGTTTCCACCCAGCTCTCCTATATGTGCCCTGCCCACGTCCTGAGACCATGCAGGCTCACACTCGGGGGCTCAGAGACGCCTGGGCACGAAGGGGCCTCCCAGCCTCTGTTCCTGGGTGCAGCGCAGGCCTCCCTACCCCAGAAAGATGGGGAAGGGGCTGCAGGAGAGGCCCCAGGGTGACGTCCCAGACACCACCCCCACCTGGTGGCAGGAACTGGCTCCCAAACCAAGAGACTCGAGAATGACTACCTTCAAATAAATAATTTGTACAAGTATTAGGGATGATGCCTTTCATAATAAATCAGCACAGAGTAACTCCTCCTGCGTCTGCCATCATCAGGGACCAAGGTCTTCTCCATGTGGGAATTTTCCGACTAACTGGTTTCTACCAGTGTTTGCAGCAATTTTGGATCAGAATCATTCCCAGATGAATCACACCCCTCCCTGTCTCCTCAGAATGCAGGCTGACATTCTTACGCCTTAAGGGCCTCACAGCCCAGCCGCGCAGCCCCCTCCACACACAGATGGCAACTTAACCTTTCCCCATGACTCAGAGTCTCCACTGGGAGCAGCGCTCATGGCCCTGGGCCAGAGCACAATGAGGCCCGCAGGTACCCGGATGATGCTAGGACCATTCAAGTCCGAGGCCGGCCTCCGGGATCTCTGATGTCAGCCCTGGAGGTCCCACCGAGCTTCAGCTTGCGGGCCCAGGAAAGGAGACGTCAGCCTCATGCCCGTGCCCCGCAAAGAGCCTCAGCCTTTCCTCTCCTCTCACAGCCCCAGGGCCACCAGGGCCCAGACTCCCAGGGTCTGGGGACCTCGTGGAGGTGAAGGACACAGGGTGGCGCAAGGCCCAGGGGTCACCAGCTGGGACAGCTGCTCAGCTCAGGAGACCAGAGCGGATGCTGCAAGGCAGAGAGGAGAGCTCAAGCCTAACGTGCAGAGCACCAAACATGCGTCCCTGACGAGGGACAAAGGTGGGCACCGATCATGGGAAAGGTGAGGTTCCTTACCCCACCCACAACATTGTGATGCAGGGCCCGGGTGGAAGCTGGGATAGGGACTGTTAGGGGCTGAATCGTCTCGTCCTCAAAACTCCTGTGTTGTGATCCTAACCTCTAAGATCTCAGAATGTGACTCTTCGGAGACAAGGTCTTTAAGGAGGTGGTTAAGCTGAAATGAGGCCATTAGGGTGGGCCCGCATCCCACAGATGTCCTTATTAGAAGAGGAAACGAGGACACAGGTACAGAAGGAAGTCCGTGTGAAGACAGAGGGAGAAGGCGGCCATCGGCAAGCCAAGCAGAGAGGCCTCCTCAGCCAACCCTGTCGGCACCTTGATCTCAGACCGCCCGCCTCTGGAGCTGTGGGATCTACCAAAGTGCCCGGCCTGTGGTGCTTTGTTATGGCGGCTCTCGCCAGCTCACAGAGGGGCTAACTCGAACACAGAGGCAGTGCGCGGCTAGAGGAACGGGAAGTCACCGAGAACGATGGCCCACCGGGGTCTCTCAGATCTTCGGGTCTAGACTCTGAGGTGACCATGAAGAAACTATCTGCATTTTATAATTTAAAACGAGTTTATTTACCTCTGAGGACACTAAGGCATGCTGTTAACAAGCCCTGGCTTTCCAGAATGGCACATTTAAGGGCCCGAGGTCTTTGAATTCCGGGAAAAGACAAAGGATCTCTGCTTAGGAGCTGATGAATTTGGCTCGTGCCTGAGGTCCAGATGGCCACGTTTGCCACTAAATCCCAATTCCTCACCGATCACATCACACACGCGCCACCGCCACCTGCTTAAAGTCTTCCCACAGGTTCCCGCGGCCCTCAGACAGTGACAGAATCTGAATCCCGGTCTGCACTGCATGGCCTCACCAGGTCAGGCCCCCGTCTGCCCCTTCAGCAACATGGCTCCCGTGTCCCCCCACCCCACACACACTGGCATTCAAGCTGCCCTGACCCTTCAGAGCGGGGACACAGCAGGCTTCTTCCCGGTACAGGGCCTTTGCACAGACTGTTCCCTCAGTTTGGAACCTTCCTGGCCTACTTCCCTCCTGACCGCCCTTCCAACAGGAGCGCCAGCATCCCTTCCTCAGAGAAGCTTTGCCTGACAACCCACTCCCCGCCCCAGCCCAAGCCCAGTTCCCTGCCATCCCCTTGTGTCCCTAGGGTAAGTAGGTATTACTGTCTGCTTCCCTGCTGGGCTGTGAGCTCCACGAGGGCAGGGACCACGGTGCACGGTGTGCACTCAGCGCAGGGCTGGGTGGGGTTGATGGGAGGGTGAGCTGCCTCCCGCGTTTACCTCTAGAGAGGGTACAGAGCCCTTTGGTTAGTACCGGGACCATAACGCAGCTAGCCCCAGCTGGACGCGTCCTGGGAGCTTCCCTGCAGCTACTAAACTTCTGGATTCTGAATGACAGCCCCGAAAACCTGCTGCAGCTACTGCCCCTGGGGGTGGGTCCAGAAGGGGAAGAAAAGGGAGGGAGGCATATGAGCACTGACGGAGCACCTAGTATGTGAGCTACTGTGGGTGTGGACTGCAGGGCTATCTGCTCTCACATACCTTATTTCAACTAGTCTTGTGGTGACCTGTAAGAGCTAGGTAACAGTGTCCCAATTTTTATAGGTAAGGAAAGGCTCAGAGAGGTTAAGTAATTTGTATAAAGATGCAGAGCTGGGAAGATCCCAGGTCTGCCAGCCCCCCAGGCCCATGCTCCGTCTATGACCCACACCGCATGGGAATCGTGTCAAATGGTGAAAGGCACAGCGGCTGCTGCCTGGGGGCCACGGACCGTGATCCCAGCATTGTGTCGGGGGCCCATGAGTCCACAAGAGCCCCCAACACCACCTGAGTCTGAATAAACTATAGTCCTTCCACATCCAGATAGGACTGTTTGCAAATACCTATGAATTTTACTTGAAACCAAATGCCCTGATGAGCACAACAACGTTCCTCTCAGCGGGTGATGGATTCGTGGTGGCCCCATGTGGGAGAGAAGGCTGGCGGAAGCTCCCACGCACTGAAATGTGCAGCGTGTAATGTGCTTTTTCTCCCATAGGTTGTAAAAGAGCCATAGGTGTGGTACTGTTGAGTGAGGAGCAGAAAGTACAGTTCTTTTGTGATTTGTGAAAAAAAATAAATAAATAAAGCATATCCGTACACAGGTGCTGGCTGATGCAGACTCTCTGGGGAGATGCACAAGGACACCTGGGCTGCCTCTGAGGAGGACCGAGGGGCTGTGAGGGGAATTTTCACTATCCGCCTTTTTGTACCACTTGAATGCTGCATCATTTAAATAATTAAAAAGTTTTTAACTAATGACTATAAAATGTTGAAAAGGCAATAGCAAGAGGGCACTGCTTAACCCTCCACTCGGAGTCCTGAATTTCAGGTAAGATGCTCCCGTGCTCTCTTTGGCTTCCATACAGGAGGAGCCCAGGGACGATGTCTCGGAGACTGGTAATTGAGACAGGGACTGAATCCCCTGAGTCACCAGAGGTGACCTTGCAAACTTGGCCTTTTTTTCATAGAATGCACAATTATCCCTGCTCTCCAAATGCCGGAGGCCCGGGGGAAGAAGATCTCATTCTCGCTCTGTGGGGTCCGTGCCCCTACCACCCGCCTCCCCCCCCCCACCCCCGGGGTCCTGCCTGTCATTCTCACTCTGCGGGGTCCTGCCCCATCCCAGGTGCCCACCACCCACCCCAGCCACACTCACATGGACAACACCTTCACTTCCAAGATTTCGTGCCTCAGCTCCAGGCATCTCGTGGAGTTATATTCAAACGGGCCCTCGTAAAATTCAAAGTACCTGGGAACCAACAGGGACAGAGGTTACTACGCGAAGAAGCCAGCCAGACTTTGTGGGGGGACTGTGGGGCTCTTGGTGGGGGCGGGTCGATCCTGGTCAAATTAACAGAGCACACCAGCCCCACCCCAGCAGGCGGCTGGGGGCCCCCAGGACTGCTGGGGCCCTCTGGCTTGATCACTGGGTGGTTGATTACTCCCAGCACCCCACTACCCCAGGAGTGTAAGCCTTTACAAGGCATGAACTCGTCTCAGCAAATCATGACATTCAGAAGCAGGTTTGGTTCCAAATTAGTGGCTGCGAAAGAGAGGGGAAGGGGGAGGATGCCCCGGGCATGGTCTCATTCTCGAGCTTCTGGTGAGGCAGCACTTTCAACCCTTTCCTGCCCCTTTCTCCTCCCCTTGGGACAAGAGCACAGCTAAGAGCTGCTGCTTTTTCTACAAGTCAGTAACTCACTTGACCCTCAGGCTCATGCTGTGCCTAGGTGAGGCTGACATTTCTTTCTCCCCATTTGGCAGCTGAGAAAGCTGAGGCTAAGGAGATGGAGCTCAGGTCCCATGAGCAGTAGGACCGGGCCAGGCTTGGGCTGGGTCCCACCACAGGGGAGCCCAAGCCCTTCCCAACACCTGCTGGCTCCACGCATGCCAGAGCCACCTCAGGGTCCCTTCTGCAGCTCCACGCAGAATCCAGTCCAGCCAGTGCTTGCTGAGCTCTTACCTCAGGCCAAGTGCTTGCTGTGGATGCATCCACTTTTCATCTTTAGAACTAGCCTACGGGGTAAGTGATCAGCATGAGCATCTGGAATGAGCTCTGGAGTTCACTCACTGGCCCAGAGCCACGTAGATGGTAGATGGCAAAGCTGGGACGTGAGCCTGCACTTTGACTTGAGGCTACTCACCTATAAGGACAGCTGGTGTCCCCTGAAAAGGGCCCTGTGGCCTCCCACAGCCACTGGGTGAGGAGACCTTTAAAGCTGCCCCCTCTCACACCTGAAGTTCCCACCTGCCCAGAGAGGGAAGAGTACCTGCCCGACGGCTGGTGGGTGGAGGGTTCCCACAGACATAAAATATAGCCGTTCACTGCTGAGCTCAGCCACGGAGGCAGGATGGGGCCTGTCCTCGCAGCTTCTCTCTCTGGAGGTTGCTCAGAAAAGGCTGGGGGATTGGATCCTGGAACAGCTCAACACCAGAGAATCCAGAAGCCTGCAGGGTTGAGCCACTCTAAATGCGGGGTCAGTGCCCTGGCGACAGGTGGCTCTGGCGAATCAGAAGTGGGAGTGGTACCCAGGGCTTCTCCTGGGCCCTGTGGGCCGTGACTGAGGATTTAAAATAAAATCATTCCTCGAGCACTTCCCAGAAACCTTCCCGACACGTGGGGGTGGCTACTTCCCATGTGTTCTCACACGCCTCATTTCTGTGTCATGGATGTACTGCTTTACACACAGAAAGGCATTTTACCCAATAAAGTGGCTTCTTCTTAAAATGTCTGTATTTAAATAACTTTTGTATATAGTATCATATTTAACTCTTCAAATTATATATTTTAAAATATTTGTTCTTAATTTTCATATAAGTTAATGGTTAAGGGTTAAAGTTATATTTTTCAGTACTTTTAAGTAATATTTTTAAATATTAAAACATTTTATACAATAAATTGGCTCCTGTTGACAAAATGAAATTGGCTCCTTGTTTTCATGTCGTGAAAGAATTGAAGCAGAATTCCTAAGAACTAGGCATTGTGGATTCCCAAAATATCACACTCACCTTTTTCTGTTTCCCCGTGTTTTGGAACTCCTTTGTCTGTCTTTCTCATCTGGCAAACCCAAATTGATCCTTCAGTACCCAGCTCAAATGCCCCCACTTCTGCGAAGCCTTCTCTGACCCTCACTCCTGGGGTCCCTCTTATTTTGTCTCTTAACTAAAAGCAAATATAACATTTTTTAAATCAATATGTAATGCATTATTTGTTTCAGGGGTACAGGTCTGTGATTCATCAGTCTTACGTAATTCACAGCGCTCACCATAGCACATACCCTCCCCAATGTCCATCACCCAACCACCCCATCCCTCCCACCCCCTCCACTCCAGCAACCCTCAGGTTGTTTCCTGAGATTAAGAGTCTCTTATGGTTTTTCTCCCTCTCTGGTTACGTCTTGTTTCATTTTTCCCTCCCTTCCCCTATGATCCTCTGTCTTGTTTCTCAAATGCCTCATTATCAGTGAGATCATATGATACTTGTCTTTCTCTGATTGACTTATTTCACTTAGCATAATACCCTCTAGTTCCATCCACGTCGTTAATTAGAGCAAATAGCATTGTATTATAACAGTCTGTTTATGTATCTGTTTTCCCTTCCAAGCGGTGTTGTGAATATCTCAAACACCGGGATTCTGTCTTTGTTACCTCTGTACCTTTTGTACTACGGATGCTGGAAAGCTAAAAACTACATTTCCCAGACTCCCTTGCAGCTAGGGCGTGGATGCAATTTAGGTTCAACCAATCAGAAGCATTTACATGAGACTGATTCAGAGCTGTTATAATAGGTAAAGAATGACGCGGCCCCAGGCACTGTTTTGCTGGTGCCGAATGTAGCAGAAGCGGCATGGTTCTTGGAAACTGCAGTGGTAGCAGCACCCTCATGATTATATTTCTATGTAAGTATACTACATTTATTATTATGTTATTTATTATTATATATTATATATAAACTGCAGTGGCACCACACCCTCATATTATATTTATATATAAATACATTATATTTATTATTATATATTATTTATTATTATTATATATTATATTCTTTCCCCTAAATGAATCCCTTTCTGCTTTCACAATGGATGGATTCTGTTACCTACAATTAAGAACAAGGGATGAGGCCACCAGAAAAGTCCATGACCTTGGCTGTAACTCACATCATTTTCCAGTCACACAACAATAAGTGAGGTCTGGTGTCATCGTTTGCAACCAGAGCCATTGGCACTAAGTCCTTTGGAATCGACTGGGTCCTCTGAATCCATGATCTCAGGCTGCTACAAAGAAAAGCTCCAGATTCATAAGGTGCTGGAGTTATTTAGGAGAGACTTATCCCAGTGGTCTCAGGGGGCTGGGAGTCTTGCAGACACATCTTTGTTATGCCGCTAAGCCAGCTGTGTGACTTTGGTCAATCGCTTGCCTGCTCTGGGCCTCTTCTTTCTCCTCCTTAAAATAATCTGTTTGAACTACGTGATAGCCAAGGGCCCACGCAGCACTACAATATGATCCCTCAGTGTTTCCCACTCACTAACCAAGCCAGAATATGACTGTAGATGGATGATCCACAAAGACAAGGAAGAAACTTGCGAAGACCAGGCAGCACCGCCCTGCCATCAGGCAGCCCCTCCAATGTCTCCATAAGGCCCTCCCCGCCTTACCTCTGGCAGCCTCCCCTCGGTCTCCCTCTCTCCTGAATCCCCAACCTCACCCATACCGGGAACTGGGAGGTACAGTGATTCCAAATGGTCTTGTGCCGTGTGTTTGGTGGCTATTCGGTGGACAGGCTTTCAGAACGGGGTCACAGTCCTTCCCTACCCCCCATAAGCCACCCTAGGCCCATCACTTTTGTGAGCCTTACTTTCTTCATCTGTAAAATCCACACACACAAAGAGTGCAGTTCATGTGTGACAGGGTTGAGAGAAGATATTGATGAGAAATTCGGAGAAAGTCCCAGGACAGTGCCCGGCGCACAGCAAGTGCCCAAGAAATGTTCATTCCTTTCTTGCTCCTTTCTCCTGCCATTAAAGGGCAAGAGTTGCCCGAGAGTCAGCGACTTGCTTATGGCTCCTCGGCTGGCTGACAGCAGAGCTGGGACAGGCACAAGTACCCTCAGGAAGTTTCTCTGCCGTCTCATTGGCTGGCATCCTTCTTCCGAGGCTACCAGTAAGCCCCTCCCCGCCACCCTGCGGCTAGAGCCCGTGCTGTGTTCTGCTTGGACGCGGGGATGTCCCTGATCACCCATCTCTGCTGCAGACCCACGGATAAACTGTGTTTCTGAGGCCTTAACATCTGGGCCTGGTTGACCCTGGGGAGACTGTCCCTCCCAGGGCTAGCCAATTCCTTGAGATGGTAACCACCTGTGAGCACCTTTCTTATGCAAACAAACCAATCCAGAGCTCACACCCCGCCCCCCACCACCACCTCCCATGGGGGCCCTCTTTCCCCCTGCCCTAATCATCCCAGGGCCAGGTACCAGACAACTAGGGGCAGCCTTTATGCCCCGGAGCCCAGTGAAATTATTCAGACTGATGACTCCCAATTCTGTGTACCTGTCTCACCTGTTTCTTCCACAGAAACCACAGTAGAGGCTCTTGCCCACTTTTTCCCGTCACTCCCTCTGCTCCTGACCACCCCCCCACCCGGGTGCTCCCCAATGGTGTGGTGTGCCTCCTGTCTCTGGGCATCTGTGGGTATAAAACCCTCTTCTTTCCTGGCAATGACTCCCACGGGTCTGTGTGTCTCACAAGGCATGACTATGACAAAGCCCAGCCACCTTGAAAACACTCCACGTGGTACCCCAGCCAGGCCATCAAAACCACGCCCTGCCTAGGGCGACAGGCCTCATTTCCCCAGCTGAAAATGGAGCTAATAGCTCTTGCTGACATCCCCATCCGACCTGGGCTCTGCTTCTCTGGGCTGCCCTGCTCCGTCCCAGTCTCTAAAGATACCTAATTTGGGGAAATGAGATTGTAACAAGCGCTGCCAAGCCTGCCCCCGCATTCTGCTCCTGACAGGACACCTGCGTCCTGCATTCTGGGAAAAGCCATGGTAATCCTTGTTTGACCTGGACACAGACTTCTACGCAGATGTCAAAAATGAGGCTTCCGGTTTCTTTGTGGAATGACATGGGAAGATGCTCGCATGACAGTGCTGAGTGGAAAATGCAAGTTACAACACTGTGATCTCCCAAAGGAATGGGACATACATATGTGAAAGCCCGGGGCAAAGGGAAAGGCCGTAACAAGGCACTAA